CCTCTCTCTCCTCCTCCTCCCTCCTCCTCCCTCCTCTCTCTCTCTCTCTCTCTCTCTCTCACACACACTCTTTTGCATTTCGTGTGAGGATCTCAGAACTTTTTCTGTGACTAAAAGGAGAAATGCGACAAATCATTTTAAAAAAATTGTTTCAGGAAGGTTTCAATCCTCAACCAGCTCCGTTGGCGTTACTATCGATTATATCTCAGATTTCATCGATTTTACGGCATTATCGATATGCGACATCTCTGTGTAAATTAAAGCAAAACTTGAAATTCGGATTCGTGACAATCCGATCGAATAACGATAAGAATCCAGAAGGAACGCGTGATAATGGTTACCGTAACGTCAATTAAAACCGACTAAAAAAAGTAAGAGTTGCGGGAGAACACGCGAAATATCGATCATCCTTCTTTTACGAGGATACACTCGTAAAAGCGGGAATTAATGGGGGAGGACAGGTGCGCGCGCGAGGGAGTCCAAGATCTCCGTTACGAAGGACCAGCCCGACGGAGGCGTGTGGAAACAACGTTCGGGGATAAAAAACTATTACGGTCGCTCTTTTTACAGCTTTACAATGGGGCCCGACGTGAATCGACACGCCAGCGAAACTTTATGCCCATATCGGAGTGATTTATCGAACGACGCAAACGCGCGTCGCGCCGCGTTGTGCCGCGCTGCGCCGCGCCGATATCCGATATGTGCAGACTCTCTTTCATTCTCATTCTCGTTCATTCTGTTCTCTTTGCGAGGAAAACGCGGAAAAAGAATGCACCGATAAGGGCAATACAGTGGAAGAAGGGAGAAAAGAGAGAGAGAAGCATGATGAAGCAAGGGACGCGGCGATAGCCTGTTAAAATGTATCGTGCGCGAAATATATCTCGCTGATAAAACTTACCGACAGGTGAAAATAAACTTCACAGAGAATGGACGGCTCTCGGAGTCGCGAAAAATGGTCTTCTCGCAAGACCCGACCGTGATCTTGAGGAAGTTTGCTGAAGACGATCTTTCACGTTTCGCTTCGACGCTTCGAAGCATTCGCGAAACAGTCACGTCTGCTTCGACGCTTTCATTTCTGACACGAGACAACTGGCCTTGTTCGCGAGAAGCTTCTTAGCTTTTAGATTCTTCAAAGTCCTGCGACTACTTTTGACTTGAGTTCGATACGATACGAGAAGTCTTTTTGCTTTATATTACGTTCGCAGATAGACACGCTTGACATGTACTGAATTTTTCTGATTCAGAAAAGTATTAGTCAAATGAAAGAAAAAGAAGACTGGTAGTTTCCATTTCAAATTTATAAAGTTCATTAATTTCTACTTTTTATTCATAAGTATGGAAAAGTAGCTTAACTTCGTTCTTTTATTTCTAAAATATTTAATTATTTTATTGCATATAATATGCAAAATATCTAAAAATTTGCGAATCATAGCGTGTCGAATAAACTTTATTTCCGCTGCAAGATGAAATTTAAGAAAGCAGAGCATCGTAACATCGACGTGCCAACATTTACTCACCGCGTCGATTGCTCGACTACTTTCGTTTCAACGTGACAAAAAAATTGACGAATTTTGATTATCTCATATCGCCGAGATCGAAATTGTACCGAGCGCGCACACAAAACCTCGTACGAAAGTACGAAAACAAATTTCACACTTTTGCCTCATCCGCCGTTTATCGCTAAGAAATTATTCGATTTCTCGTGTTGCAGCTGCAACACTGTTAAAATCACACGTTCGCAGATTTTCGAATTTCGAATTTCTATAATATTACGATGCACCGGCGCGTTTCTTTCACAGAGCTCAACGACGCGAAATAGTTTTTAGAATTTTCGATGAATTATATTTTCACTTAAATTATCTGATTTCCGATAACTATTCATTAATATTTAAACAAGTAAAATTTTAATTTGTTTTTAATGATTGCATCTCGAGGATATGCATAAAAAAATTTATTTTTAATAACAATTTTTTCCGAAAACTTTTTTACCCTCGTTCTTTTCTAATATATCACATTCGTTACATTCCAGAAATTGCTCGAGCGATTTCGTCGCAAACTTTACGCGAAATTTTCGCAAACTTGAAAGTTTCCACGGGGCACATTCCTCTCTTCGCTATTTGCAAAGCCGGGTTAAGTAAATGAAATTCCGTGTGACTGCCGTCAAGTATCGCGGATTTTAACAAACTGAAGCGCGCCACTCTTTGACGAGCAAACTGCGCGTAATGAAGAAACTTTCTGATATTACCGTACGATTCGTATCAAGATTGCCCACGAATGAAATGTCTTGATAGAGAAGCAAACTCGCGCCTTCCTCGACGGTAATCATTTATCGGGTTTTGTTAAATAGATTGGTATTTCACTTATTCTTCATGGCTAATCTTAATCGAAGTATGCAATTGTAAATTTGTTCAAATAACAAACGAGGGTCTAACAAACTCCCCAGAATCCACGTCAATTTGAACGGTAGACGATCCGATCAATTAAGTAGATTCTGTCGCAAAATTGAGTCAACGAAATCGGCAATCTTATTTACCACTCGAATAAATCGAATTTCGAATTACGTCTAACGCGATTATTTCTGCCAATGTTACCAAGCTATCCATATGTCTGTATGTCACACATTAATCAGACGCGATTAACGTTTCCTGAGCCGTGGCATCGGCACTCTCCAACACCCGACGTTGTGCGTAACGGAGAGTCACGTATAGCCAAGCAACGGTAAGAAGAGGATGTCTCCTTGTAACGAGTTAATATCTCCGGATCGTTACGGCGCCGATTACTGCAAAGGTACCTAATTAATCCGCTTTTGGAACATTTTAGCGTACGGCAAAGCCAGGCGGCGGCGAGTTAAGGAGACACACTTAAAAGAGCCGTCTACCAGGGGGCCACGTAAAATTATTAAGCGAGCTCCACCTCTCGTCATCTTGGCTGTCTAGACGACTTTGGTGGGTAAACTCTTCTTCCTCCTCTCTCTCTTAATCACTGTTTCTCTTTCTCGTTAATTCTTTTTCCTTCTTTCACCGATATACTCGATGTGTCTAATTGTGTGTGTGTGTGTGTGTGTGTGTGTGTGTGTGTGTGTGTGTGTGTGTGTGTGTGTGTGTGTGTGTGTTTCTATTATATTAAATTTTACCTGCTGTCGGAAATCGTTCTTCCCCCTCTGACGCTGCGTCCAACAGTAGAGTAATTTGTAATCGATGAAAATTTCTATTTACTTACGCATTTATATTTACAATACATTGCATGCACAAGCATAACGTCAGTCAACGAAATTCGTTCGAAAGTCCTTTCTCATCGAATGTATCGTGTACTTTTCATTTTCTCATCCTTAATTTTAATAATTATCTATATACTTTTGTAATTATTATTAGCTCTGATATTGTATATTAATTAATAAAATAAACGTAGCATACAATTAATAGAATAAAATTGCAGTTAACTTAGATATTTATATGGAAAACTCTAACAGCCATCGCTAGTTGCTTCGGGAGATGTGCAACAACATAATCAAAGTTGTAATGGCATGTAAAACTCTCGTTTAACCCGTTTGAGAGGTAAATGACTATCAACGAGCAAAACTTGCGCAGAGCACAAAGTTGCGACAGGCACGGCACTGTACAGGCACGGCACTGTAAAGAGAGAGAGATAAATCGCCCTGCTGGTAGTCACACAAAACGAATCGTTGCAAATCAAGTAAACACGAAGACGTCTTTCGAATGAGTTTACGCTGCTTTTACGCCTGGCACGTACATGTGCCGCACGAGTTAGAAGCTTCATTAACAATTCAACAAATCAGATGAATGAATTTTGAGAAATCAACGAGATAAATCTAATTCTCTAATTTTTAAAAATAACTTCTCTATGTAATTAAAATTTGTCAAGTTGTTAAATTAATTATCATTATTTTTTAATGTTATTTATAATTCCAAAATTAAAAGATATGTATTATCTTTGAGTACTCCAAAGTATAATAGAATGTCTCTGATTTATCAAGTTACACGTATTTTGTAATAAAATTATGTCTGTTGGTTAACTTTCATGCTAAATATCGTTGACTTTCAAGTAACTTTCTCTTTATAGACGCGCGTACGCGATATATTTACGATGTCGTGCTTTGACTAAATTCTGAAGCAATTAAACAGTACTTTAAAAGTCTCATATAATAAAATCAATAACGTAAATAATCAAGTGCTATTAATTATTTCAAAACATTTTACTCATTATTAATTCAATTTCTAAAAAATTAAAGTTTCTGTTCTCGTCAGAATAAACTTTACAGACATATAAATTAATTCGAATACACTACTGTTTTTCGATTCAAAGAAAAACGCGTTTTACCGGCGCATAGATATTCACATAGATATAGAATCTTATCACCCCTGTCGAGCTGCCCGCCCCCATCTTGCACAAATAAAAAAATCAATAGCGCAAAATTATAAGCTATTTATGAGCTTTCATATTCCGCAAATTAAATTTTTTGAACTCGTCACGCTGAGCATAAATTTAATGTTTTTTGTGTGGGGGGGGGGCTGAGTCGATATCAATTCAGCCCCCCCACCGCTTAAAAATAAAAATATTGGATCAATCTTTGCGGTAGAATTATAAGCTATTTATGAGCTTTTAAACTGATATACTTTCGATTTTTAAGCTCACCCCCTTAATCCTCATCTTCCCGACACAGGAGAAAACTATACTTGAAATAAAAAAAATTATTTTCCAACTAAATATCGTAATTATCCATTTATGTGCTCGTGCATTTCTATTATTGAATTGCAACCCCTTTATAAAGAAATCATCCCGCATCTCCCGGCACACAAGAGAGAGAGAGAGAACTTAAAATTAAAGAAATTAACTATTTCATGACTAAATATCGTTTATCGATTTATGAGCTTCCAAAATATGTTATTTTTTATCTTGCAAATACCATAAATTAAAAAAAAGTTTTATATATATATAAATCAGTTGTGCAAATTTTTAGTTTATTATTAAAAAATAAATTGGCTGTATTGACCCAGAGCCGGGTGTTAGATGCTCAAAAATAATAAGTAACTAAATTGTCAAATCAAACGTTTCGGCACATTTATTTCGGCCATCTTCAGTGATAATATCATTTTTAGTTTATATTTTGACAATGAATGAATCTTAGTATATATTTTTTTTATAAATTGTTTTTTTATAATTTAAATTATACTGTTATATTACTGGAAAATTAGATGCAGATATTTAATTTTATTATAAGATAACTTTTAATAATTTCCTTACATCTATTTAAAAGAAATATGAAGTACACATCTATTTTACAAGAAAGAATTACAATGAAAGAATTAATGATATTAATAATTTGTGAGCACATAAATGGATAAACGATATTTAGTTGGAAAATAATTAATTTTTTTCATTTTAAGTATAGTTCTCTCTTGTGTCGGGAAGATGAGAGGTGGTTTTTTTGTAAACGGGTTGCAACTCAATAATCAAAATGCGCATATTTTAAAGGTTTATTCTTGGAATTTTATACTACGTTTGAAATATAATGT